TGGCAGGAGCATGCAGCGGCTTCGAGGAGCCGCTTTTCTGAGAATCTCGCCTGCCAGCTTGCCGTGGCCTGGCCAAGTAAGGGGCGGCACGCACAGGCACATCACGCTCCAGCTAAGTTGGGCTGTTCCTAGAAAGAAAATCCTGCGCACTGCAATAGCCACGTGCACAAACCACTTACTCTTGCTTGCTCCCTTTGTCACATGGCAGCCCTTTAAGAAAGAGGAAGTACGCTTCTCTGAGAAAATGTAACACACAGGCTAGCAAAGGCTCTTCATTGGGGACTCCTTCTTCCCTTTTGCAAGCTCCTCTCTCATTGCACAGTTCCCTCCTCCGGGGAGTGACTGTCGTCTTACATTTCATTAACTGACTCTGCCTGCTAGCTCATGGAAAAGAGAATCAACTCACCCCCAGCCCTCCTGGTGCTTCTTTCACTAGCTCACATCTTGCTCCACCATGGACCTCCACAGGGGACACCTGCCTCACCACGGTCTTCACCACAGGCTGCAGGAGAACCTCTGCTTCGGTGCCTGGAGCACCTCCTCCCGCTCCTTCTTCACTGACCTGTGTCTGCAGAGTTGTTGCTCTCACATATTCTCTCTCCTCTCCCACGGCTGCTGTTGCACAGCGTTTTTTACCCTTTCTTAAACATGTTACCACAGAGACACTACCAACATCGCCGATGGGCTCAGCTTTGGCCAGTGGCAGGTTCGTTTTGGAGCCGGCTGGAACTGGCTTTGTCCAACATGGGGACAGCTTCTGGTACCTTCTCACAGGAGCCGCTCCTGCAGCTGCCCTGCTACCAAAACCTTGCCACATAAACCCAATAAATTCTGCCCCTCACCTCTGTGAATCATGTATTTTAGAATTATCATTAAAATACACATTCATCACACAATCTACAATCTTCACAAACCTCACTTAACATCAACAAAAGAATTCCTCACACCAAAATCAAAGTAACATCATCATAAGACCGACAAAAGTGGACAATTTACACACATTCCATCCCTTGTCCCTTCACCACAATTACAACAACAAAATTTCCCCACCATTATTGCGCTTGCTGCTCTCTAGCAATGTTCAGTCCATGTTTTGCCTGTTACCTCTCCCAATTACTATCCTTATCTCAAATTCCTCATGCCCCAGGTTGGGCACCACAAAGGACTGTGGTGGGTTGACCGTGGCTGGCTGCCAGGTGCCCACCAAGCCGCTCTGTCACTCCCCCTCCTTCAAAGGACAGGGGTGAGGAGATACGACAAAGGGTTCAAGGCTCGAAATAAGGACAGGGAGATCACTCAGCAATTACTGTCATGGGCAAAACAGACTCAACTTGGGGAAATTAATTTAATTTATTGCCAGTTAAACAGAGTAGGAGAATGAGAAATAAGAACAAATCTTAAAAACACCTCCCCCCGACTCTTCCCTTCTTCCCAGGCTCAACTTCACTCCCAACTCTTCTACCTCCTCCCCCCAAGCGGCACAGGGGAATGGATGGAGAATGGGGGATGTGGTCAGTTGATAACACTTCATCTCAGCCACTCGTTCCTCCTTGCACTCTTCCCTGCTCCAGCGTGGGGTCCCACCCCCGGGCTGCAGTCCTTCATGAACTTCTCCAGCATGGGTCCTTCCCACGGGCTGCAGTTCTTCAAGAACTGCTCCAGCGTGGGCCCTTTCAATGGGGTGCAGTCATTCAGGAACAGACTGCTACAGCGTGGGTCCCCCACAGGGTCACAGCTCCTGCCAGAAAACCTGCTCCTGCCAGGAGCCTGCTCCAGCACAGGCTCTCCACGGACTGCAGCTTCATTCAGGGTGCATCCACCTGCTCTGGCGTGGGGTCCTCCACGGGCTGCAGGGGGATATCTGCTCCACCATGGACCTGCATGGGCTGCAGGGGGGCA